TCGAGTGAAGCTTCAATAGAAGCCCAAGAGTCTGAAACAGCAATATAACAACCAAAATATAATTCTTATCGTGATCACAAAACCACGATGACAGCAATAATCTTTCAGTGTTATTGTACTAAAATGGCCATCAAGAAGTGACCTGTTTGAGGCATTATTGCCTATATCGAGAGATATTTCCGAGGAAACTGGAGCAATAAATATTAAATTATGTAATCTGAATGTCAATTTTTCACTTGAATAGAAATTGACATCGAGTTTAATACACTTCTCAAATATAAAATTTTATTGGATTTCTCCAGCAGCATCGAGTGAAAAAATGATTCATTACTGAAAACGTAAAACGAGAACGAAATTAATTCTGTTGATAACCGCTGCATCGTTAGGCTGTGGTAATGAGAAACAAACGCAATTACGGCATGGTACACAGCATCTACAAAAAAGTTGTTATACTTGTTAGCATAAAACTCCGCTACCAATAACACAAAAAACGAAAATCGAAATTGTAAAAAAACAAACAACCAATAAACGAGTTTTGGATAAACACTTCGTTAGAAAATAATACATTTTCGATCTCTTGTTAGTATTGAAAAACTTCGTTAATAAGTTTAGTTTTTGCAAAAACATCTACAAGATGTTATTTAAAACAAAGCTTCAAATAATAATATTATTTCAACTGGACAATGTGCCGGCCATGTATCTCTAATTTAACATGCTTTCTTTGACGTATTATGAAAGACATGTTTCAAATTACACGTTACAAACAAATTTCTGTATAACTTCGGGCAATGTCCACGTAAACATCCATCATTGTGGAGCTTAATTGAACCGAAGATACTTGTAGCACATTGAAACTGCTCTGAATTAGGTTATTCAGTGAAATCTGTTCATCTTTGTTTACTATCCCTGTGATCTTTACAGCAATTTAACATAAAGTTCTACATAGACCCGTCAAAATTATTCCCATATAATTTGTATAGTTTATATTCCAAGCTCTAGATCGACAAATAGGTGTCTGTTTCGAGCTCGAGGACCTATTGTAGAAATAACAGACGGAATCATATTTTTGGTTATGACTTTTTTATGTTCGTATCATTCATAATCATAACTATACAGTGACTACAAATCTTTGTTCATCAAACTGGGTACTACTAGTTCTGATAAGAATTTTAACACTGTAAGTATTTTTCGGATCCTAGATTGCTGTATAAAAGTGACATTTGTTAAATTATTATCTAATCGATACCACTATCGGAACGAAGTGGGAAATACACAGCCAACTCAAATCACTCTGGACCTACACCCAATTTAAAACAAACTTAGATATAATTATTGTAAATCGCACTTAATGTAAAAGCGAAGGAAAATTTTGATAAACACAGGCCATAAAATGTAATAAAACGTTTGACTTCTCGAGCGTAAACTAGGCCTTTCATGATCTCTAGATGAAAAAAACAGTCTCTCGTTTCCGTCCGTCTGTGATCTACTCATCTGTATCAATATTTATTAGGCAGATAATCTCCGGAACTAGTGGGTCCAGTAGTTGTTGACTGTATCCAAAATTTCATAAGTATTTAGGAATATCGTGCAGTGATGTCTAATCGCGCCCACCAACAAAATTATAACCTCATCTCAAACTCTTGCATGGTAAATGTTATTTAAATTTCATAAAATAACATACTTTTATACCTGTGGTTTATAAATACGGCTTTATTTTTTACCCTAGACATTAAGTTTTTGACTTCCCGAGCGTAAGCAAGGAACGATGAAGTCAATAATTTATGAACGACGAACGCCGCGCTTTATAATAAACGATTAATGCCATATTTTAATTTTTATTATAAAATTTGTTTTATTAATCAAATCAAGCACGATTTACCTCATTTTCACAAAAATTTTATAATATTGTGTATTCTTATTGCGTATTCTTATTTAAAATGTTAATGACGTCATCACGAGATATAAATAAGCACCTTTTAAAAACAGTTTTACTAAATTGGTTAACGTTTTTAACCTTTAATATTGTTAAATATGCCAAAATAACGTTTCTTGTACTTAACTTAGAATACACGATCTCAAATCCCTGGTAAAAAAAAGAAACAAAACTTAAATGAAAACAAACTGTGTTAAATAAGTTGTCAGTTTGACAAAAATTTCGTCCTGTGTTCCAAGTCTTACCATGTTTGCTATTTTTAACTAAAAATTATTTTTACCAAACCCTATATTCAATCTTTCTTAATTGTGCACGTCTTACACACAACCCAGATTTCTCTGACTGTAGTTTATAGAACTTCCTCTACACCTCTGCAACCTACTCAGGGCTGTGCTAAATCTGAAATATTTTTTTTCTAGATCTTTATCTTCAATTTCCGAACATTTAAAATTTGGTCATAAGCTCTCTTTTCGACCAGTTATTGAGCACTTACTTTATACCAGAAGATTCTAAATTTTGTCTAAAACATCGCTAATTACCTTTTTCTTAGAACTGCAACCTTATGTGACCTTCTTCTACTTTCTTAGCCTTTTTAAATTTAGGTCAATTTAGGTTTTCAATATCACCTTCTAAACTTCTTTGGCAAAAATGCTATTTTTACCCCGTTAAAGACAGAGAAGCAGCTGTATATTATCCAGGTAATCAGATACAAGTTTTTAATTTCCAGTTAGTACTGAACTCCAACTTTCAGTGTCTCTATTACGGTCACCAGACTTTATGTAGACGAGGAACTTTCTACAGTTCTACAGTAACCCAAAATTTTTATATATTTACTCTTTCCGCTTCTAAATGCTTTTTTTTCTACTTTTTTACTTTCCGAGCATAAACGAACGAAGTATTGTAATAGAGTCCATCGGGCTCTGGCTATTTTCATGTTTTCTGAACGTTTCATGACCCCTAGAGTACGAACAAGTGATTTCCCATTTCCGTCTGTCTGTTTGTCTGCCATCTGTCCGGACTTTTATTAGACAAACAATCTCCGAAACTACTGCACCGATTGTTGTCAAATTTTCTGTATATGTTAGGAATATCATGTAGATGGTAAAACTCTATCCAAAATTTGTCTAGTCATCCCCACCAACAACGTGACGAAAACCACTCAAAGTTTTGTACAAATAAACATAACTTAAACTTCATAAAATAGTATACTCCTATACTTGTACTTTATGAATTCGCTCTGTTTTTTTTTTTTAACCGCGCCCGCCTATATTTATTAATAATAAGATAATTATTACAATAATAACAGTTACTCAGCCAAAATAATATTCGGATCGTTTCTTTCAGCACAATTGCATGCGGCCACTGATGCTTCTAATTTGCGCTCGCTCTCTGGTAATAAGGATTCATTCAAGAATATCTGTTACGATTACATCACACACAAAACCTCCCATTTATTAACATGAATGGCCACCCATTTACAGTTAAGAAAATATTGTTTTATAAAATCAGTAAGTTCGTGTTACGACTTATATTAATAGCATTAATTTTCAAAATATTTTCTAACATAAATTAAGAAACAAACCTGGTTTAAAGGAGGTAAATTATGCAATGATAATAATGAACGGCGTAGAAACAATAAGTTACTAATTATGGAACATAAACACTTCTACCTAAGCAAGAGCTTAAATTTTACGCACCCAGTTTCCGAGAATGAAAAGGGCATCTACTGTGTAACCACCAATCATCAATAATTATAAATTAAAGAAGTGGAGGATACACTACCTTATTATAATTGTGAGTAGATTCTCTGGAAAATTTGGAAATCTACCGTACGAGCACAAAATAATTCATTTTGGAAAAACAATACAAAATTGTACACAAACGCCACGAATAGAAAATTAGAAAACTGGCAAGAAGTTTAACTCTTGAAAAAATAAGGAAACTTCTTTCAGAAAATTTTTGGTAACACTAAAACAACAACAGCAGATTTTGTTAAGAATGATGTAACTCTATCATAGACGTGACTTTTAGTTGCATAACCACCGAAATTCAACTTTAGTAACCGAATTTACAAAGATCAGTTAACTGCTGTTACATGATTTCACAGCAAAGAAACGTCAAGAATTTGAACCTACCGTTAGGAAGCTTTAAATAAAACAAAATTGCGAACGAGCTTAAGTACTTTCAAACACTCGTAAATTAATGCATTGTGTTTCATAATTGCGCGTATACTGTTAACCGATACACTAACATATATCTATCGATTTTCAAAAGTAGGTAATTAAAAATATACCACAGCGTTTCGTCTTTTGAGTTATGGTTTTCGAGTCATTAATTGCAAACAACAAACTTCAGCTTCAAGAACTATTTAGTTCATAAAAGGACATATTTTACTGTGACAATAAAGTGTACGCCAGTTGCATTTAAATATTTCAGTGAGATTCATTTAACGAAATCCGAAAATATGTGTTCATTATTTTCATGTCGTTTTGATAAATTGGTGTAAATTTTTACACAAACTGTGCTTGTATAGTTCACTTTCCAAGTATTAAACTGAAATGACTATTTAAATAGGAGACAAAAGCGATGTCAGTTGCAATTAACGCTGTAATAAAGTGCTCAGAATTATAATGGAATACAGGGTATATGAATATGAAATTTTCTATTATGTTATTGAATGGGCGGAACAAGCATATACATCGGTAATAAATACACCAACAACCAATTTAGTTATGTGTAATGAATCTGATAACTATAATAATGATTATTACATCAGAATAACTACAATAATTTCAAACAAAATCTTCCTTCTTGAAAACCGACAAAGTAATGAACAACGTCTTTGACAATAATTTTCAATAGACTCTTTCTTTGGTTTATTTGAAAATATTATAAACATCCCTGAAATCTGTAGATAAAACTGTAGATAAAGGATTCTAAGACATCTTATCCCCACTCCGCATTTCCCACTCCGCCGTTGGTCAAGTGGAAGGGGACCCCGTATCGGGTATATATACAGCAGTTCTTCGCCACGTGTTCAGTTTATCCTCTGCTCCGCACGATAGAATCCTTCAAAAAATGTTGCCATTTGTCACCGCTCCTGAATTTGCTTTGCCAAATTTACCAACTGAGCTTTGGACCATCATCCTGAGGTAAGTTATATTTTTATTTTTGTTGTTATTCTTTACTAATATTTTGATTGTTTCAGATCTTTGGACCCATCTTCGCTTATAATTGCTGTCAAATCCATCGACTTGTGGAAACGCATTAGTCAAGAAGATTCAGTGTTAAGGCAGACCGTCAAGAACCAGCTACTCTTAGAAAAACGCAGGCGCCGAGAGAATATGCTCAATCCTGGACTGTTACTTTCCATAACTAGAGAAGGAGCAGGAAGACTGTTTGCATCCAACGCAAGGAAGATAATTCGGCTACAGTTTCCAGCACAAGGACCGGTTAAGACCCAAGAAAGAAGGAAACGTTGCCAAAATGAAAGCAGTAAATCTCATAACCACAAAGTAGGAAGAAATGAATATTGTAAAATAATGCTCTAATAAAAATACAGTTTTATATATTTTCTTGTAGTATTAATTTTTATTTTATTTTTTATAAAATGAGAATATTAGTTTGGCAGCGTGGGTACATTATTGTGTATAACTAAATTAATTTAGAAAATTTTATGGTGCGTTTAAAAGAGTAGTCTAATATTTGAACCGTTATTTACTTAATTATTTTACACATAGGCTCTACTGTGGTGGTGGAACGAAAACTAATTTTATTTTAAACAGAAGTTACAAGCTTTGCTGTCTAGTCACCAACATCTACAAAACAGAATTAATAATGCAAAATGAAGTAGATATTAATCATCTATGTAACCAACACACGCCATCATCGTAACATTGTTTGTTATAGAGATTCAGACAGCGGTATTTCTTGTGGATTTTACCATAGCGGCGCCCTTAAATAAACTTCAGTTACCAACTGTGTTGAGACGTAGAAATAACTAACCTTAGAAACCTAATACCCATCCAAGATCAGGTTCACCATACATTACATTTCATCAAATGCACTCCAGTTCAGTGAACGTTAACCAAGTAACCGTAAAATCTCGAACTGAATTCACAAAGACTAGTATAAATTTTTACTAAATTAGTGTCTCTCAGAAATGCGCATTTTCAGGAATCCTAATGCTAAGTTTAAATTTATAATCCTAGACAGCAATGCCGACTCACTAGATGAAATTTTCTCTGCGACGTTTCCTCAACTACAGAACTTTTATGTCGCGCCACCACCTGTCCTCAATGGTTTTTTCTTGTCGATGACGCTTTTGGCGCAACCTTCTGTTTAATAATCCTTGATTATTCCATTACATTCGGTTCTTGTAAGTTGATTCGCAGTTCGCAGTTGCCTGGGAAACGCCCGTGAAGGGTTGAAGGAAAATGGGCTGACGTCCACTTATTGCTTTGCATATGCAAAACTTACACCACTATGGAGGTGCGCCAAGAGATATCACTGAATTCGGTTATTCCCCGGATATCGTCCGCAATACAATATCCAAAGCTTGTAAATTTATAATACGGTGAATGCGAACAGTAGAACTCGGTAAATTGCCACTTTACCAGATTTGCAGCGATCCACTTAAATCCCAATCGAAAGTGGGCGCAAAGACTGGATTTACTAGGTCTAGCAATTAACCGCAGGTTTCATTAAAAACTCATGTTTAAAATATACTAGAAGAATTGATGTTGAAAAACTGAGTGGTGGAGGGGAGTTTGTTTATGTTTTAGCGCCATTCATATTGAAACTAATGCTCCATTTGCTAATGGAAAATATGCACATACTGTAACAGATTACTGTTAAATAGCGTTACCAAATTAATACTAGGTTTCTAAAGCATTTTGTTTTCTTGGAAATGAAGGAGGGAATGATTGGCATTTTCCACTTGGGTGCACAAACTGGTGAGAGAAACTGTACTTGTTTAGGTGTTTCCACTCACCTCAGTTCAGTAATTTCGATCTCCACGATTGAGGGTAGCTGCTGGGTTTTAAATGAGACTACTTCTTTTTTCAATTGTTCTGAAAATACTTTATTGCTTCCCCAAAATACTAACACAAAATTCACAGCAGTTTCCCAACAAAATTTTTAACAAATTTTTAATGGAATTGTTTTTTCAGCATTGGCTGAAATAATTGTTACTATGAAAACATTGTTAAACAGTGATTATTTTTTGCGGACAGTGTGCAAAAAGAATTTACTGAGAAATTTAATGCGCGAAGGAATATCCACTTAAAAAATAAGAGCAGCAAGATTTTAAGTTTTTAGCCGAACCCCGAAGAAAAAAATTTTTTTAAGTACTTAATTATCTAATGTATAATTTATTCCATAAAAGGTATTAATTATTCTCATGAGCTGAAACTCCCTTATACTTTAAAATAAACTGTATCCAATAAAGCAAAAAATACATCTTCAAAAAAATTAATATTACATGACATTGCCTAGATCTTTTATTTTGTTCACGTACAATTTTGGTGCGCTTTTCCAATACTTTTAAGGTGAGAACAGTGTATTTAATTTCCTAAATCCAGCCTTTCTTAACTTCTTTAATAGCAGAAAGAGGAGCCGTAATAGGGTAAACTTCGTAAAATTAATTCGATTCTGACTCTCGTAGAGTGTGTCTAAATAAGCGCTGATCTAAAACAGTCAGAAGAAAATGTAGCAAGAAATCTGCAGATTTTAAAAACAGTGATTCCCATTTCTGTTATGCATTATAATCCAAGCGATGAAAAAATGCATGAACAAAATATATACAAAAGGGAAATAATGAAAATTATATTATACAAGATTTGAGGGAGCTACACTTTGAAAGAGAGAGCTAGCAAAGAGTCTGGCATTATGTGTATGATATTTTTCGAGGTAACAGCCCCTCAGGCACTCTATCACTGTACTTTACATTTATATATGTAAGACAAAACATAATGAGACTGATACTTGTTTAAACTCCATCACAAAAAATGGTTAACAGTGAATTTAGTTTAAAATATTGTAATTGTACGAGTAGAACACTGCATGATGAAGGTAATGTGTACAGAAAAGGACAACAAAGTTCCGCAAGCTAAAATATTTTATATGCAACTGTATTACTCGGGCTTAAAATGAAATGTAAAAAGAAGAAATTCTTTCTTTTTATTACATATATATTTTTTTATTATACAAGGAAGGTTTTTATAGTTTCTAAACGCAATAAGATGCTAAAATGCGGCTTAACCAGTATGTTCGGCAACAAAAGTCCGCACGTTGCCAATATTTTCATAAATTTTATATATGTCGGGAAATACTTATAATTTGTAATCGTCTTTTCTGAAATGATATGTCTAATGCTGCGTCTAACGCTATGTATATAAAAGGTTTTAACAAAACTAAATTTTATTGTTGATAATTTGTGAACCTAATATTTGAAATAACTAAAACAAAAAAGCAAAAACTAAGATTCTTATAAACTGATGTTTAACTTTGATTTTACGTCAATTTATTTATCCAACTCAGTGTGATTTGAAACGTCCCCCTTCTAACCTTACTTTTCTTGTTACATTTCGATTGGAGCAGAAAACGTTTATAATTGAGTCGAATTTTCGAAATGAAGAGCCGGTAAACGGTTTATGTTAGTACTGGGTTCAAGCGCCTTGGGATGAATTCTGGGAAGAATTTCGCAACAACATCGTTGATTACGCCCATTTTTGCAGCTCTTTACAACCTTTGTGACAGATTTCCGAGAAACCTCGTCGTTCCTACATACAGAGGAAGGAAGTGAGAAGTGACAGGTCAAAAGATAAAAGAACTCTAGAAAATAACAAGCCGATTTTCCAGCTACTCTTATTGAGTGTTGTCGGTGGATTTTAGACAGCTGTTGGAAAAGACCTATTTTACAGACGAAAATAAAATTTTTGATGACTAATTATATTATTTATAGGCTTGGTTGTCAAGATATTTAACAATTTCCATACATTCTAGCGACCTGTATATGTACCGCTTTAATGATTTCATTTTCACAGTAAAACTTCCACTTATACGATTATGATTATGATAAAATGCTTATGAGCATACATACAAGTTTATGACCTTGTCAGTTATTAAAAAACACTTTCAGTATAAACGACTACGTTTTTTTGGTAACAAATTTTGGTACTAAATATCTTGAAAGCTGCTTCATAAACAACACTTGATTTTCAGCTCTCCCGCTTCAGCAATTTCAGGTGGTATTAATGTAAATTCAGACATATTTGCAAAAAATTATGACATTTTTTTTTCGTTTGACAAATTTCCATGACAACACACAAACATGTTTCTATAAATGGCCATCACAATTTCTGAACACAAATTAGAATTTATTCCTAAATTATTGTTACATCGTTTTTGATGTAATCGTATACGTTTGAAAAAAAATAGCATATATTATTTAGAGTATAAGTATTTTATGAGGTTCGCATGGACTTGCCTGACTCACTACATTCGTCAGTCAACAAAATCCATGCTCAGCACATGCTCGCAATATAGACGGCATTATATGAGCATTAGATGTTATATCTTATATGTTCTTTTTTCAAAAAACCAAAATGAAACAATGAGCTTTTATTCCCGAGCGTAAGCTAAGTAAATGTAGTAATCAAGTCCATCGGGCGACTTGCCAGTTTTATGTTTTCTCAACGTTTCATGACTCTCGGTTCCATTTGTCTCTAGTTTATCTGTCTGTCTGTCCGTCTATCTATGTCGATTTTTATTAGACAGAAAATCTTCGAAACTGTTCGACCGATTGTTGTCAAATTTTTTACGTATATTAGAAATATCATGTAGATGATAAAACGCTAACCAAAATTTGGCATATCATCCCCATGAACAATTTGACGACGTCATCTCAACGAATTCTGGGTTCAAGCGCCTTGTAGTGTAAGACTCTGCTTTTAGTTATTTCCCTAAACGGCCGAATTTTTCCCAAAAAGTATTACACAGTGTAATAATATTTTACCACAAACTAGTATGTAAACCTCCGCGGGTCGTACCTTCGATGCCAAATTTGGCCGTTTCTTTTTTTATTCTCTTGCTCTATGTTATTTATGACGTCATTACAGAATTTTGGTATGTAAAAACTTACTTGAAACATACGCATAGCTTGTTCATTTTTCGGGCCGTTTTGCTCTATTGTAACTTAATTAACGAAATTTGTCCTCTCTTCTCTTTTGAGAGAACAAAAACAAGAAAATTTCATTTACTTTTAATTCGTCATCGAAACGCACGAATTCTTTCGAAGTATAAGCTTATGCGGACTGTGCCCCATTGCAATTTGTTTAGAATTGCTTGTACTGAGCATTGATTACACGGTGACTCACAAAAATTAAGCAATGATTCAATTTTTTTCACTGATTTTTGTCGAAAATTTGGGAATACAATAATACTGTTATTATTAGTATTACGCTATCCAAAGTGATATATGTTTCCTTGAAAAAATGTTGATGACGTCATCACAAAATTTTGTAAACGAAAAACTTATTTGTAACATGCG